TAAGGTTCATCTACATATAGTAATAGAAATCTTACATTCACATCAATCATCAGCATATCGAGACACGCCAATTGACCACCACGCCTGAAACATCTGGTCTCCCAGAACCGGAGAAGTCTAGCCTCGACGACACAAGAGCACTTGCCTAACTTCAGATCCGAGAAGAGAACCGTAGTATTAGCATGTGGAAAGCCAGCAGTGCGATATATAAGAGAGTTACGAGGGGATTAACTCCATATACCCCATACCCTCCTAAAAAATTCCCTATTATCCCCTTATTTTCTTTTAGATTTATATTAAATGGAAAAAATGGTTCAAAGTTGGTTAAAGACAGAAGGACCCCAACGAAAATTGCCTAATTACATAACCCAACCATGGTAATTCGGATCTATCCAGATCCATCCGGATCCAACCCAATTCCTTAATCTAAACGGTGGCGTTTTAGTGTTTCAGTTATCCTTTCTCTCCTTTCTCAATTTCTTCGACGAACCCTAAATCGATTCCTCTCTTCTCTTTGTTTCTTCTTCTTCTGTGATAATCGAGCCTTCCTCTCCGACTAAACATCCTTTGACTTCGTAAGAGTTCAACTCTGATTAATTCTGATTGATTTCATCGCAATTTATTTTTTAAGTTAGAAAAAAATTTGGGGAAATTGGGAAAAACATGTAAATTGTAGACGAAACTATAGTATTGTGCTAGTTTGTGCTATGAAATTGGGGGAGACATGGTAAAATCTTAGATTTCGGATATGTTTTGATAGAAAGTATTTTGGGGATTGATTTTAGACTCTTATTTTGGATGAAATTGTGTGATTTTCGCATGGTTTTTACTGAATAAATTGAATTGGTAAGATGTTTGTTAAACCTGAGACTCTAAATTAGGGAGAAAATATATATGAATCGGGTATGTTTGATTTTGCTGTGAAAGTGAGTTGGTGATGAGACTTAATTGATGTTGTTTTGTTGTTTGCGGTTTGCATTTAGAGTGATTGAGTGTTGTAATGTCTTTTACAGAAAAGTTATGAAGGGAAATAAAAAGGTGGAAAAAAATAAAGGAGTCCCCAATGAAAGGAGTTGTCTATCTCTTAGGCCAAGAACGACCTCAATTACAAAAACACCAGTAATTCGTGAGAGGAGTAAGAAGAGTAAGAAGAGTAAGAATAGAAAAAGAGTACGCAAGAGAGAGAACCGAGTTACGTATCGCTCTTAGTCACAGATGAGTCCGAAAGTGATCATTGTGGCAAGTGTTCTGTCTGAGATCAATGAGGCTCTGGTTGCGTCTGAGACTCCAACAACACCACCACGGCATGGGAATCAATCAGACGGAACTCCAACACCACCACCACGTGAGATATACACAACACCACCATGGAGGGAAAGAGGCTGAGATCAATGAGGTTACGGTTGAGTCTGAGAAAAAGGAGGAAGTGGCAACAGTTAAGGTATATACTGAAGAAAAACAAAGTTGGATCATGGTCGTCTACAAGGCTGTTAGGATATGATGGATTGGACATATGAGGTTAGAGAAGCAGTGAGGCGGCCTGGGATCTTACTTAGATTCAAGGAGAAGACAGAAATGTATGGAAAACCGAGGAAAGGTTCAGGTAAAAAAGCCACACCGACTGCTGAACCTAAGAAGAGGGGCAGACCAAGGACGAGAGCTGTTGATGCTGCACCTACGGTAATGGGAAAGAGGAAGTCTGAACCATCATAGTGGGTGCAGACTCCTTTCACGGTGGGGAAGAAGGCAAGGAAGAATCCTAAAACAAAGTCTTAAAGGCTTATGTATGAAGCTACCTTATGTATTTAGATGGTTTATTTAAGTATTTTGGATGTTCAAAACTTGTAGGATAATGCTTGGTTTTTGTTGTTGGATGTTAAAACTCTGTTGAATGTTCTTTTTGATGTTTAAGACATGTAATGGAATAGCTGGGATAATTTGAATTACATGTGTTACTCTGCCCAAAAATGAATAGTTGTGATAACTAGAATTACTGGGTTTGTTGTAATGCAATAAAATGGATGAAATGATTTTTTTTTTTTAAATGAATTTCACATGTAAAACGTGCAGCCGTCAAATTTCACATGTAAAACGTGCAGCCGTCATATATAAATTTAGTATTATATGTAACACTTAGTAATACACTTAATAATCTCCAAGGTTGTAGTAATACTACTATACACATAGTAATACTTTGGCAATTTTTACGTTTATCTAGTTAAACCATCATAAAATTGAAGGTTTTGTAGTAAAACCAATGATTTTACCTAGTCAATCTTGTTAAGGAAGACATTTGCATAAGCAATTTACAAGGAATACGTATTTTGAAAAATTCTCTTCACTATACTAGAACCTTTTACAAACTAACATAGAAAGTTAAGGATGTTTTTTAGGATACTGATAAGCTTTTCTTTAATTATTGAAAATAATTATCAAAAATAGTTTAGATGTATATATTTATCATAGACATAGCCTAGGAAGTGAAAATAATCATAAAAAATAGTTTAAATATATATCATAAACAATTTACCTAGTGATATATATTGGTTACGAATAACACATAATAAAACAAGTAATCCCCAGTAGTTCGGATTACATATTATAAAACTAGTAATAACTAGTAGTCCAGTTTACACATAGTAAAACGAGTAATCCTTTGTCTCCTCTAGCTCCCCCTCTGCCTCTTTTTCCTCTTCCACGGGATTCTCCTACTGATGGAAATCTTGTTTGTTATGGTTTTCCTTTCTTATTTTCATAATCTGGGGGAATTATTTTCTTTGCTCCAACATCTTCTAGTATAAACCAATCAAACATATGAGAAACAATATATATTGTCTTGTGATAAGCCAAAACCCATTGTTCCACTAAATAGTATTTCGAACAATACTCAGATAGATGGATTTCCTTCCAGCTGCCTTAGTTACGAATGTGGCAGCAGCTACTCCATGCACTGAAGGTTATTTGTCTTTATCGAATTGCTCACAGCTGTAAGTTTTCATAGCCAAATCAACAGTATAAACCTTCCCGTCAGAACCATGCACACTGTACTCTTGATGGAAGCTATTTAACTCGTCAACCGTGAGAAACCCTGCATCAACACATCTTTTAGACATTTCAGCTTCCACAATAGGCACAAGCTTCACTGTGTATAGTATCTCAGCTGCCTTCTTACTATACTTGTTAAACCAAACCAGAGTAAGTGATCTCCTCCATTGATTTCCTAAAAAAAATCGTGTGAATTTCATTTTCTCCTTTACCATATCCTGAGATCAATTTTATTTCAGCCCCACCTTCATATAATATCCCCATAATCAAAACAAATGAATGTGCACTGCAGATTTTACATTTTCCTGAGATAAAATAGAATACCATTAGTATTATCATTATTAGAGTAATTCCAGTAACTCCGGTAATCCCAATAATTCCAGTAAATCATAGTAAAACTATTTTGCCTTAGTAATGCGTAGTTCTCTTAGTAATACCCAGAATTTTTTCTTCCACAAACTAATCCGTTTTTAGGACGTTATTGTTAGAATTTTACAATACCCATGATGTATAATTCATCTTAAATGAAATTACACACAAAAAATCATCAAAACATAATAACATATATCCAAAAATCTATAAAGGTAATTTTCAAATTCTTTTTCAATCTCTCAATATTATCATTGGATCTGATGTTTTTAACACTACCCGAGCTATACAGATGTTTTAAATAACATTTCACCCAAAAAATCATCAAAAACGGACGTAAATTATACTTATAATTTCTTATCACAGTTTTTGAAATCGTTTTTAAACTCTCTAATTTTCATCAAAATGAATATATCTATGATATGCACGAAATTTTAAAAGTGATTTTACAAAAAAAAATACCTAAAATGAACAAGAATTACCTTTTTTATGAGCTTGAAAAATCATCAATGGAGGATGAAGAGGAGGAAAGAATACGAGGAAGAAGAAGAACATGTGGCCAAAAAAATTTGATTGGTTAAGATAAGGATGTGGGCCATATAGGTAGTTGAATTGTGGTTGATTTTTAATTGAGGAATAAATGGAAATAAATAGATCAAGGCTAATTTAGGGAGTGCAATGATAAAGGGATAGTATGAATAGGGTTAGGGTAGTAAGGTTGAGTTTAGGAGGACATGGGGCATTTGGAGTTAAAACCCGAGTTACGAAAGTAAAAGAAGATCAAGGAGAAGAAGATTTACACATATTTATACAGATCGCGAGAACAAAGCATTGATGTGAACATAACAAAGCGAATGAAGGTAAATTTTCAGAAAGTCTTAACGCATGTGGTTAGAGATTTTGAAAAGAATCGCAAGAGTCGCCGTCGCAGGCAGAAGGAAACCAACTTTCATTCTACGCTGAACATGCATTAGGGTTATGGAGACACACTGAGGTTACGCCAATTCCCCTTAAAGCCCTATATCAAACCAAATCAAACACAGAAGAAAAACGAAACCAATATGACCTTGACATGTGTAAACACTCTATGAATCCATTTTTTTAGCTGTAATTTGACATAGAGGGTTTTAGGAGTGATTAAACATCTCTTTATATAGAAGATTTTTTCTGTAGATATAGAAATGAGACAAATATATATTTATCTAAATTTAGAGATAAATAACATTATTAAATTATAAAAGATATATTAAAAACTTACTGATATTTTAACAAAAGTTCTAATAATTTTCTTAACAGTTAAAAATATCTTATAAGTTGGGTATACTAAATTTTCAAAGTTGAGGGATTAAAGTTAACGCTTTATTGGATTCTTACTGATATACATATATTACTCATATAGTATAAGAAATATTTATTTGAAATATCCAACACATTTGATAGGAAAAAAAGACAGAGAGAATTAGACACTGCCAGAAGAATTAACCTTCTCAAGTGGGGGACCTACCACATGACTTCTTTCATCTTCTGCTTCTTCTCCTCATTTCTCACTTCTGCTATGTAACAAAAACCAATCATCTTCTGATCTAATGTCGTCCAACAACACTATCCCCTCCGTCCCCAATCCACCGGATCCTGAGTTTCCATTCACCCAACCAGCAAACACTACAGCGTCATCTCCTTCTCCACCTTCCCCCATAGAACCTGCTCCAACCCCTCCATTTCCCGCGGCGCGGTCAAGCGACAGAGGCTTAGCGCCAGGAGTATTAGCTGGCTTGATCACCGGAGCAGTTCTCGGAGCAACGTTTGTTCTAATCGGAGTTTGTGTCTTCGTCTGTTTCTACAAGAGGAGAAAGAGGAAGCTGAAGAGAAGAAGAGACGCTGAAGCTGCCGCCATTAATGGAGACTCTTCATTACCTTCTTTGTCTGATCCAAAACTTGGTAATATATTTCTAGATAACTCCCGGAAATCTAGGGTTTCTTTCTTTATTTTGAAATAATTTTTTATAATTAATATTTAATTCAATTCCTTTGTATTTATTTGCTTTGACTGATTCTGAAGATCAGAAAGTAACTGGTTGTGTTCTGTTTTTTTTATTCTTGTTTCTTGAATGTTGATTATTGTTTCTTGATTCTTGTTTTGTTGTTTCTTAATTCTTGATTTTTGATTCTTGTTTCTTGATTCCTGATTCTTGATTTTTGTTTCTTGATTCTTGATTTGGTTTATATGAAATTTGATTACTTGAAACTATTTTTTTGTAGATAATAGTAACAATCTCCAGCAATGGAATCAAAGTACCACAATCTCAGACAATGTATTCAGTTATCAAGATTTGGCGAAGGCAACTGAAAACTTCTCCAGCAGCAACCTCATTGGACAAGGTGGGTTTGGTTATGTTCATAAAGGAGTTCTTCAAGACGGAACAGAGGTTGCTATTAAGCAGCTTAAAGCTGGAAGCGGACAAGGAGAACGGGAATTTCAAGCGGAGATACAGACTATTAGTAGAGTTCATCACAGACATCTTGTTTCACTTCTTGGTTATTGCATAACCGGATCTCAAAGGTTGCTTGTTTATGAGTTTGTGCCTAACAAAACTCTCGAGTACCATTTACACGGTGAGTTAAACTTCCTTGGGATTGATAAATGGTTTAACGGTCCTAATATTTTAGAGGCTATAGACAATTTAGTAAAAATATTACTAAAAGTTTGTATTGGAAGTTCTATGTATAGATATATTAACTCTTAGAATTTTGGGGGTTTTAGGCTAATGTTTCATCTGACTATGTCTATGATCTGCTCTGATTGTGGGAAAATATTTACAGAGAAAGGGAGACCAGTAATGGAATGGGCAAAGAGGATGAAGATTGCTTTGGGTGCAGCTAAAGGGTTGTCATACTTGCATGAAGATTGTAAGTTATTTCCTTGCCTTTGTGTTATGTAAGAAACATTTGTTTTCAAAGATTTTTTTTTTTTTTGACTTGTGTGATTTAGGTAACCCTAAAACGATACACCGAGATGTTAAGGCTGCAAATATTCTTATTGATGATAGCTATGAGGCAAAGGTATTCATAAACTCGTGAAACATCTACAAACATTTTATTTCAGCTTTCACTACTAATAATGATTGATTCATCAGTTAGCAGATTTTGGACTCGCCAGGTCTTCCTTAGACACTGATACTCATGTCTCCACTCGGATTATGGGAACATTCGGGTATGTAACACTCTAATCATATATGCAACTATTTAAACCATAAACAATCTATTGACTTGTGATTTTTTTTGTGTGGATGCAGTTACTTGGCTCCTGAGTATGCATCTTCTGGGAAACTCACTGATAAATCAGACGTGTTCTCATTCGGAGTAGTGCTTCTCGAGTTGATAACAGGACGTAGACCTGTTGATAAGTCACAGCCTTTTGTTGATGATGATAGCATCGTTGATTGGGTTGGTTATATCTTCTTTCCCTTAGCATCATCCTTGTCTCCTCTTAACTTTTTGTTCAATAATGTTCTAGGCGAAACCTCTGATGATACAAGCTCTAATCGATGGCAACTTTGACGGTCTTGTTGACCCGCGGCTAGAGGATAACTTTGATATCAGTGAAATGACAAGAATGGTTGCTTGCGCTGCTGCTAGTGTCCGTCATTCAGCAAAACGCCGCCCAAAGATGAGCCAGGTACTATCAAGTTGAAACCTCTATGCAGCACTTTGTGAGTTCCTTTTGAAACTTGTGGTCATTGCAGATAGTTCGAGCATTTGAAGGAAACATATCTCTAGATGACTTAACGGAAGGAGTCACTCCAGGTCACAGCACTATCTACAGCTTAGATGGGAGCTCGGATTATAGCTCAACACAATATAAAGAAGACTTGAAGAAGTTCAAGAAAATGGCACTTGAAAGCCAGACGTTTGGTAGCAGCGAGTGTAGCGGTTTGACCACCAGTGATAACGGTCAGAACCCATCAGGCTCCTCTAGCATCACTGAAGGTCAACGTACAACAACGCAAGAGACAGAACCGGAGAAGAAAACGGATGAGACAACAACTTAAAAACAGGGGATTCTTGGTAGCTTAAAAGTCCAGCATTTTGGTGGTAGGTTAGGGTGTAAACATTATTTTTTTCACGCGCACTTTCACTTTGTATTAAGGTGTGGCTCCTATGAAAACTCCCATGAGCCTGATTTGAACGTGAGTATTTGTTGGAGGCTAGTCTACGGTTATTTTATTTCTTTTAGTTTGGAGTGAAGTTATTGAAGAGATGCAAAATTAGATGCTATATGATTCTTTAATATTATTTTTCTGGATTTAAGGGAAACTTTTTTTTCACTATGTTTGGAGTGATGGTATTTGTTGAAGACTAGTCAAAATTATCATAGTATAATATAATTTTTCGGAATTAATGTTTTGTATTTTAATTCATTAGAACATGGTATTTCCAGTACTCCATGGAGTTTCTACGTAATAAAACTAGTCGTGGAAAACAATACTCATGACTATAGTTTTGACAACAATATTTTCGTTTTGACTTGTAAATATTTACAAAATTGGATTATTAATAGAGTGGAACTATTCCTATAATGTTAAAAATTTTGAATAAATCAAGCTTCTTAAAATCATTAGGATTTGTATAAGTTTTAACAAAAACAATATCAATTTAGGAGCTATTAGTTCGTATGATGATTTCTTCTTTTGTATAAGGGCAAATTTCCAAAATAGCATCTTTTTAAGTTTATATCACAAAATAACCTTCAAAACTAAAATGACTAAAATAATATTTTATCTTTTGAAAATTTTAAATATTTTTTATTTTTAAAAAAATGAAATCTTATCCTCAAAACTCTACTCTACAACTCTAAACCCTAAATTCTAAACCCTAAACCCTAACCCTTAACC